TCCTTCCCTGGGCAAGAAGATGATGTTGCTGGGCCAGTTGCTGTGGCCTTTGTCTAAGAGAATGTTGAAAAAATAGGATTGGGTCTCCAGGTGTGTTTGAAAAGGCTTCATATGATCAGAGCACAGGCATCTCAAAGTCTTCCTCCTTCCTCTAGCTCCATTCAGAGAAATCTTGACCTTTCCCCATGACTGTTCCTCAGTCAGAAGTTGGCATCCTCCTTCATTAGTTTATTTCCTTTTCAAACCCTTTCAGAGAAGTTGAATTTTATTAAAACTAGTTTCACTATTTCATAATTACTAAGGTAAATAGAGTTTAAAATATTTTTAAATAAAATGTTACGTTAAGCTACAAAATTATCTCAAACTTATACACTTTAAACAAAATATTTTATTCTAAATGTAATTAGAATGACTTTTTCTTTTTGAATGGGAGGTCATCATAACAATATTTAATGGCAAAAGTATCTTTTATGGATTGTCAGGTGTTCTCCTTTTTTCTTACCTCTATACTCTTCAACCTCAATATTCCCATGCCCAAGATGGGATTACCCGAAAAAGGACTTTAAGTAACCCCCTGGATACTCTACAATCCAATGCCATCATCTTTCTTTCATTCCTGTTGAAAATAATCTCTCCTTCTCCTCACCTATGGCACCATATGTTATTGTCTTCTGTATATTATTGTCATTTATGCATATGACAAATCTCTGTCAATAAATCCTAAAAGCAAGACCCTTTACTCATTAGTAAGTACATGATCCTTACTATTATGTAAGAGAATTTGTGGACAAGATCCTTATTTTTCTCACTACTTTCTGTGCCTAAAATAGAGTACCTTACAAATAATAGGACTTCAAAAAATTTAATGAATGGTTTTCATCAAATATTGAAAATGTGAAATAAATAATTGGTCGTTTATTACATACTAGAGGCCTTGTGCATGAAATTTGTGCATGGGTAGGGTCCCTAGGCCAATTTCATCTTCAAATGAAATGCTTATGGAATGATTAATTTTGTGTGAAGGGGAACTTAGTAACACTCTGTGAAAAATTTCTAAAAATTATTATCATTTTAATATATTTTTATTGATTTCAGAGAGGAAGGGAGAGGGAGAGAGAGATGGAAACATCAATGATGAGAGAGAATCATTGATCAGCTGCCTCCTGCATGCCCCGAGCCCACAACCTGGGCATGTGCCCTTGACCGGAATTGAACCTGGGACCCTTTACTCCACAGGCCTACGCTCGTCTATCCACTAGCCAAACCAGTTACAGAAAATATCTAAAAATTATAAAAATATCTGCAGTGCTTTCCATGTGTATTTTATATTTTATAACCTGTGACCTGAGGGAAAAGGTTTAGGGAATTAGAAACAAATAAAAGGCAACCACCTCTTATGCTGGACCAAAATTACTGGACATTAAATCCTCCCTGTGGCTACACTGAATACATATTCATAGTGCTCATGTTTCATTACAACCACTATTTACTTCTTGGGATAAACCATCTAGACTAAATCAATATTGGGTGTGGGGGCTTTTTAATATCAAATGTAGGTTTAAAAATGTCCTATTGCTGTGCTATGCCTACAGCTGTGCCACAACTGCTGCTGCTTTTCTGACCACTGTTACTACTATATTTCATACATTAATTCCTACTAAGTGCCAACTGCTGGGGAAGTTCCATGCCATACCCAAATTCTCATGCCAGCCCCTCTAGGTTGGTATTTGTTCCCTACAGTCTCTGAGAGGTTACGTGACTTGCCCAAGTTACAAAGCCAGTGAGGATGCTGTCCCCACAAAAACCAAGTTACACACTTGTATCTCCAGTGCAATTAATTAAGGAGAACTTCACAAACGGAAGAAAACAAAAGCTTATAGTCATTCCAAATTAACTTCATGACTCTCAGAAGAAAATAAAATCATTTTCTTATTTTTTCTTTATTACTATGACTCATGTAATTGTTTACCAGACTTTGGAAACAAGCATTTGATCATGCTCAGAGTGACGAGCACTACTTTCCCTGTATGTTCTCTCCACTCCAGTTCTGAAGAAGTGAACTATGTTAGATGTTGGGAAGTGACACAGGGGTTTTGTTTTTGAAGAACATAAAGGATGACTGCTGGAGAGGTGGTGAAGAAGGCCTTCTAACCATGTGCAAAGGCCCACATTTGAGAATGGATCAGGGTGACCAGAAAAGACCGAGGCAAGAGCATTTGGTAGAAAATATCAATAACACCCAGTAAGCATTTACTTGGGTTGAACATTACTGATATTTCTCACTCTCTTCCTAATCAGTACATAAGTGTGTTCAAGTCTCTCCTGCCTTCAAAGTAATGAGAGACTCCAAATCCTCTTTGGCTTTACCTTCAACCAAATTGAAAGCAATACCAGAAGCCTCCTTTTCCCTAAGGCATGACTCTCTGATGTGGGAAATATTAAATTGCAGAGAGAAAAATACCTCTCTTATAGCATTTTTCACTTTCTTTTTTAAAAAAAATATATTTTATTGATTGTTTACAGAGAGGAAGGGAGAGGGATAGAGAGTCAGAAACATTGATGAGAAGAAACATCAATCAGCTGCCTCCTGCACGCTCCCCACTGGGTATGTGCCCACAACCAAGGTACATGCCCTTGACCAGAATCGAACCCGGGACCCTTGAGTCTGCAGGCCAATACTCTATCCACTGAGCCAAACTGGTCAGGGCAGCACTTTTCGCTTTCAGCAATTGCTAATGACATGTACTCAATTCAAGCTATTTATATAAACTGTGAGTTACTGTGTTTTAATTTCATATGGTCTGAAATAATTTCAAAGTTTTGGTATAAAATTTTTACAGTTCTTATTCACAAGGTTTACTTGGAAATACGTGTTGTTCTAAAATTTCCTGACTTTCAGGCCTTTCAAACCTGCCTGAGACACGTAACTCCAGCTAGCGTATCTGTTTCATGAGACCCCTTTAGCTGCCTTCAGACTCAGCAAGTGTAAGACCAACAAGGACTTAAAATGAAGAAGCCAGGGAGCCAGAGCATGGACTAGTTCCGTGCTCGGCAAACTGCGGCTTGGCAAACTGCGGCTCGCAATTAGGAGAATGGTGGAGTTATAAGAGACCTTTGAAATCATTTAATCCAATCTCATTTTCCAGGGGGGGAAACACAGGCCCTATGAGGTGAGGTTGAAACGCAGGCCCTGTGAGATGAGGTTGCTCAACGTCACCCAACTAACCGAAGGTTTTATGGTGACCAAAACTTGGGAATTCTGGCAGGCTGAGGTCTGCATGTCATGAGCACATTCTGTAAATTATCCTAACGTATTATGAGTATTAAACTGTTCGATAACAATCCATCAAAATGCTACAATTATCAATTGTTTTTTTATGAAATACATTGTACCATGGTTTGAGTTTCAGGTATATTCACATATTAAGTTTTATACTATTCGAAACATATATTTTAAAACTTTGAAGTAGAAAAAAACACTTCTTTATTTAAAAATTAGTGGAAACATAGAGAAAAAACTGATATTTGTTGACACCTTCAAAACAGTCTACATATGTTACAGCAGTACATTTAGCTATGTTATGCATTTGGTTTCTTGCATAGTTTCCAAAGTGTTTTAGAAGAGAGCAATAATTTATGTGGAGTCAGCTGGAGTTTTAAAAGGTATTTTAAGAAACCACAATCTTCTTTTGCCCTCTTGCATTCCCAAGAGCTCTGACTGGTTAATATTCACCGTGGCTTAGGTCCTCTGAGGATTCAAAGTTACTGCTGGACTGAATTTAATGAATCCATCAAAATCACAGAAGAATTTTCTTCTGCCTCCTCCAACACCTTGCTTCTCCTTAGTCATGGGAGGAAGATGCTTCTGTGAAGCAGAACACCTGTGAGGCTGGGCAGTGCGGTTGAAATGGTCGGTTGTGGTCTGTCTCAATCACGTGGCTCTTCCATGCCTAAAGAGGCCACTTGTCTACTGGGAGAACATTCTAGAGTGCTAGGCCTTGCATCCATCAACAAATGGGCACACTTCATTCAGAAACGCGGAAAATGTCACAGCACCCAGAGTTTAGTCTTCTGCATTGGGCTAGGGGTGGGGTGATGAAAGTAGACATTTATACTTTATTCCCTAATAACATCCAGCATCGGCTCCCGGCTAAATCCTTTGTGAGCCCTGGACATCTCCATTGACACAGGTGATCTTGCAGGTTTTAATAACTGGTCTGGAGCCGCCATTCCTGTTGTTAGGTAATTTTTGAGTACAGTGTCATGTTCATCGAGGGAAAACTGAGGAAGCAAGTCTTAAGCTACCTGATGCCACATCCTTAATAATATCTTGCCTTTTATGGTGCTTCAGAGTTTTCAAAGTGATATATATATGTATAATCACTTATTAAAAGAAACTGGGCAAGTGGTATAGGAGGCATAATTCTAGGATGGCCTCCAAGATTTCTGCCTACTGCTACATATGCCCTGGACAATCCCCTCACCTCATCTGTGGTCAGAACCTGGGAATGGGATGAGATAGTCAGCCCTGTGATTACAGTGAAAACTTCATTTTAGCAGGAGAGAGAGAGAGAGAGAGAGAGCGAGAGAGAGAGAGAGAGAGATTCTCCTGCTGGCCTTGAAGCGGCAATAGCTGTGCTGTAAAAGGGCCAGGTGGTGAGGGAGGCCCCTGCTCAGAATGCTCCCAGTGGACAGTTAGTAAGGAAGCAGGAATCCCTCTCTACAGCTGCAAGCACACAACAGCCAACAACTTGAAAGAGCTTGGAAGTGATTCTCCCTGATGTGTTCAGATGAGAACATCGTCTGGCTGACACCTTCTCAGACCCTGAGCAGCAGACCCTGCTCAGACCCCTGAGCTACACAACACCTGCAATAATAAATGGGCATTGTTTTGAGCCCCTAAGCTTGAGGTAATTTTTTATGCAACAATAGAAAACTAATAAAAGCAACGGCAGACAATGTTACAACCATTTCACCAATAAGAAGACTGGTTCAGAAAGATGACTGATTTGCTTGTTTTATTTTGAAAATTCGTGACAGGACTGAAATTGGTACCTTAGACCCTCATTTATAATCTGCATTTTTTCCACAGTACTCCCCACCTTACTGCTCCACACTAATGAATATTATTGATAGAATTTCTTTACCCCTGCCCATAAACAAGATAAATAATGAAAAGTATGATATATTGTTTTACTCCATACAGCTCATCTCAAAGTACAATTACTTTATTAAATTCTTACATCGGTTCTTTAGTATAAGAAAAAACAATCAAAATCATATTAAGTGTTTAGTTCACAATCTTTTAAAAGAATCTTCAACCAAATGTCAATCTTCATCACTAAACAAACAATATTCTGAATAGTCCAGATCAGGAAATGCGATAGGTAATTCTACCCATTTTTTGTATTGTTTCTTTGTTGCATTACTTTTGAAAGACACTACAAAATTCCTTATTTTGAGACAAGGCAAATCTAAGCCTTTGTGCACCATCATCGTTCCCCAAGCCTGGAAAACAAAAGAGAGAGCAAAACAAAAATTAAATTTGCATTAAATTAAGAATTCCTTTTGGCCAAAGTAGGAATGAACCCACAGCTGTATACTCACCTGGCCACATGTTTTGCAGATGATCTCGCCATTTGTTTGATAGTCTGCAAACTTCTTTTGCAGTGCTTTGTTCTCTCTCACAATGTAGAGTTCCCTAAAATTATCAAGGAGTAAGAAACATCCCTGAGAATTCGCAAATGACCACTATGCAGCCCATAGGTGCATGTTGTTGAACTTGACACTCATCCTCAGGCAGATGTCCCTTCACATCCACCTCTCCAGGGGCATGCTGCCTTGTGTGGCTTCTTCCAAACTGTTAATTATTTTAACTTGACTTAAGTTGTTCAAAACTTTGAGAACAAATATGAACGTACACACACTGATATGCCTCGGATCAAAATGGCTTGAGGTACATATTACACTCTACCTCCCTCCCCAGGGCAGCATATTTGAAAAGTAGACATTTGAAATAGAGATACAATTTGAGGAAGTTAAAAAAGTTCTGGAAAATAATAAATTCAATTTGTACTATTTTGGAAGAACGTTTACAATACAACCTGCTTCACATCCTATAAAGAAGCTTAAGTGGACTCTCCTTGAACTTACTTGAATTCTGGTGTCATATTGACATGGTGCATTTTCTCAATCACGTGGATATGGTCTCCAGTGCAGGCGACCACACTGCAGTTTTTGCAGAGGAAACTTATTAACGATGGGTTTTCCTTGCAAAGCTTTGCGTTACTTCTCTTGACTTTCATTTTCTTTTCCATTATACTTTGCATCTGCAATTCCAAGATCTGCATCGAGAAAAGAGTATTCTGTGGTTTATTTATTCGCTGCCTCATTGAAGTAAGATCCTTGAATTCAGAGACCTTAGATAGTTGTGAAAATATACTCTTGGTTTATGTCCTAGAAGTTGAAATAATGAGGCAATGGCCCATGTACAACTTAGTATAGGGACCTTCATGTAATCATGAAAATGTGGGACCCTCAAAAATCAAACCCTTCTATTTTTTAAAAAGTTCTATTGTGAGAAGGTCCTTAGCAATATTTAGCAAAAAAATAAACCCCCAAACTCCCCATCTACCCACCTCATTTTAATTATCTCATAAAATAAATATAAACTTTCTTCCATATGAATCTCTTTAAGAACTAAACATTGTTATTACATCACCCATAGTCTTCTCTTATCTATGACAACCCCCCAGTTTCTTTCGTTGTTTCTCATTTAATTCCTAGATGCTTCATTATCTTAGCAAATCTCCTTCGCGACATCTCTTCTTTTCATGTTCGTAACAGAAACTACCAGTTTACAATCTAGAAGCCATTTTTCCTAGGAACAGAACCATAATTTTATTCTGGGTGGAAATATGCTAGCTAAATGACTATATTTCCAAGCTAGAGGTCAAGGAGACATAAGAAAATATTAAGTGGTGCTTCTCCTATGTATGTGTACTTTTGCCTTTTCTATCTTTTTCCTCCTTCCTGCCTAGAATGAGCATGTGGCAGCTAAAATTCTAAAAGCTATCTTAGACCCTGAGAATGGGAGCCAAGTACTAAAGGGTGGAGAAGACAGAGAAGAGGCCTGAGGTCCTCCTAATATCATGAAGCTGTCATATGACTTTAGATTGTCCATATTCTTGATTCGAGAGAACAAGCCCTTATGCCATGCATTCCAGGCTCTGTGACTAGAGGCCAAACTTATTTCTTCACACAAACCATCTAGTTTATCAAAGGCAGAAAACCTGAAGTAGGGACTGATTACTTCTCACACTTACACAACTTCACAGGAAAAAAAAAAACGTGGTTCTTAAATAATATACCTCCAAACTGAATCTCCTCTAAATGGCCAATTTGTATTAAATTGTGGAGGAAACTATTGTTTTCCTTAAGACCTAGTGAATACTTTTATGTTTTCAGTGAAAGTAAAGTATCAGTGCTGATGAATAAAGCTGAATGGCCCATCTCTTTGGTTCTTGCCTCTCTGTTTTGGGCCTTGACTTGGGGTAGCCATATTTGCAAAGAGAAGAACAACTTAGAAGCAAACCTAAAGGGTATTGAATAGTTTAATCAGAGACGTACAAAGATCAATTTCCTATGAAAATTATAACAATACTAGAGGCCCGGTGCACAAAAATTTGTGCACTCGGGAGGGTCCCTCAGCCGGGCCTGTGCCCTCTTGCAGTCGGACCCCTCAGGGGATGACCACCCGTTGTCTTAGGCCTGCTCCCCAGGGGATTGGACCTAAGCTGGCAGTCAAACATCCCTCTGGCGGGCAGCCCGGGAGCCCTCGGGGGATGTCCACTTGTCAGCAGGGAGCAGACCTAAGCTGCAGTCAGACATCCTTAGCGCTGCTGAGGAGGCGGAAGAGGCTCCCACCACCACCGCTGTACTGGCAGCCATCATCCTGGCTTGTGGCTGAGCAGAGCTCCCCCTGTGGGAGCACACTGACCACCAGGGGGCAGCTCCTGCATTGAGTGTCTGCCCCCTGGTGGTCAGTGTGTGTCATAGTGACCAGTGATTCCCAGTTGCTCTGCTGTTAGGGTCAATTTGCATATAACCTTTTTATTATATAGGATAATAAATTAGCCTGGCTGGTGTGGCTCAATAGTTGAGCACTGACTCATGAACCAGGACGTCACAGTTGGAATCTGGTCAGGGCACATGCCCAGGTTGTGGGCTCAAATCCCCAGTAGGGGATGTGCAGGAGGCAATGATTATCATCATTGATGTTTTTCTCTCTCCCTCTCCCTTTCTCTCTGAAATCAATAAAAATATATTTTTAAAAAACCCAACATAATAAAGTTCTCTGATTCCAGTTGTTTTTGAGAGTTAACTATGGTTTAGTGAGCTGATTGAATGATGATTTGGCATAGGATCACATACATGTGGGCAATTAAGACACACCTATGAGTTCAATGGGAAAAATAAAAGTAAAACTAAGATAAATGTATGGATATGTAACCAGGACACCATAAACTAAAAGATTAGCCCTAAAATAGTAAAGCATATAATAAAATAATTAGAGGGGGAAAAAGAAATTATGATAATTGATAGGCACAGCTACAATCAGACTGTCTGTTGAACCTCAGAGGGAAGGCAGGGGAGGGATTATGTAATACTCTCAACAATAAAGATTTAAGAAAGAAAAAGTCCAAATAAAATGTAATACTGTAGTAAAAGTTGTTGGGTCAATGCTAGGGCAAAGTTTAAGATCTCCAATTTTAGAAGCTTTCAGTTATGTATAAAGTTTGTATAAGACATGGAAACTCACCTATGCGTCAGCTCTTACCATTAATTTGCAGTTACCCAGCACTGAGTAAATTCGGAGGATTCTCTAATTCAGTGGTTCTCAACCTCGGCTGCACATTAGAATCACCTGGGAATCTTTTTAAAATCCTGATTTCTGGGCCTCACACCTCGGGAAATTCTGTTTCTTTGTTATGGGGTGGGTCCACAACATTAGTAACAAAGAAACAGAATTCCCGGAGGATGGGGCCCAGAAATCAGGATTTTAAAAAGATTCCCAGGTGATTCTAATGTGCAGCCAAGGTTGAGAACCATTGACTTAGTCAAAAGAGATCTAAAAAGATAGTCCATTCTGGAGTCCCTAAAGGGTCTGTGTCTTATTCTAGATATTGTCTGGACAAAATTGACTCAAACTCCAGAGGTTGTTCTAGAGTTTATCCAATACAACTAGTCTCGAAACATCAATTTTTGAAAACAGCCACTTGATCTCACTCATTTAGGACATTAAATGTAAGACAGTAACTTTCCAGTGACATTATTTGGCCACAAATGCTTGATTTGACACTACAACATGTTTGGTTTGCCTTATATTTTAAAAGGCTTTTAAAATACAAGTTTGTGTAGAAACCTGGCCAGGAAACCTTGGAGTTGGTTATAGCAATGCACACCAATTTGAAAGCAACCCTTTCGTGAAACTCTATTTAGGGTAGAGCCAATTCCAATGTTAAGAAACTAACATTCACACCCATATGCAAGGGTGTGAATTTTCTTCTAAATGGATTGTTTGCTATTATGGTACTTACAGTCTTTAATTCAGTGGTATGGGGGATTTCCTGAAATATTGCAGAAATACTTTCTTCTTTCACGGCATTCTTCTCACCACCCAAATAACTCTATGTTAGTAAACGGAGATGCTGCTAGATGACATAATATGTATTTGCTTTTTATTGAGGTGTAGCCTAGTCTCACTCCCTCTAAGAGGCCTATCCCAACTATCCCATCTAAAGTACCTATCTAGTGACTTTTTCCACATCATCCCTTTCTAATTTTCCAGCACTTGTTTCTACATGATATAGTTCTTGCTTCATTTCTGTTTATTATTTCTCCTCTTCAAATCCTCAGATCTCACTATATACACATTAGAATATAAGCTTCATGCTGCAGGGGCCTATCTTTGTTGTTTGTCTATCTGTTTTCTATTTCTAGAACGTTCCCTGGAACACAGGAGGCATTTCATAAATATTTCTGGAATGAAGAAAAAAAAATATGCCTGTGAAACCAGATTGAACCAAACCAGAATTACTAGGTTGGGTTGAATGGATGAGGTACACTAGTCCTCCCGGATTGGGCGCAGCCTAAATTTATATTACCGAAGTTCATGGCTGGTTCTGCTGGAATGGCTCCCTGACAATCCCTGGCCAGTAGGGGTCCTGACTCTTTGTATGGGACTCTGGACTAAGCGTAGCTCATCAAACTGGAACTCATAGTTCGGCACGTTTTCTGTCTGGAGACTCGGCCACAAAGATATCCACGGTCAACCACGTGCAGCCAATTTAAAGTGAACACTAAGTTCGGAGAGGCCCCCACACAGTACCTTATGGGCATACTCCTCCGGCTTCATATTTTGAACACGGTCTATAGCTTTATACATCATCTGCTCTCGGAAGTCATTAACGGTCTCACGTTCAACAACTCCGGAGCCGCTGTGGGCAACCAGGACGTAGGTGCTTTCATCGGCTCTGGCTCGACCACGGGCCTGAGGACAGAGGGAAGTCACGTAAGAGAAAGGCCCTGCCTTGCTGAGATCTCTCCCTTTTTTGTCCTGGAATGATATTCACTGCTCAGTGTCCCAGCCTTCAAATGCTCTCTTAATTGTCAATAACGTTAGCTGTTATCCATTCTTTATTAAGTCCATTATTTGAAACTCAAACTGCACTTGGTGGCAGAAACAATGTTCTTGAATGATGATGGTTAGGTCCCCACACAACCCTAAAAAGCCTCGGTAACACAGTACCATCCTGTCCAGCCTTTCGGTACCCTGGGGTCCCTCTCTCAAACCCTAGGAACCATCAGTAGTGATTTGGACTAGGGGAGCCCACACCCTCCCACCAGTGAGGATGGATGGGTGGATGGATGAGAAGGGGCCTCTCTGACCTTGACACCAGGGCCCTGGAGCATGCAGCTCTCTCCCAGGACCTTACATTGGATTTTGAACACACTTCCCCATGAAAACACACTCAACATGGTGATAAACCTCCATAGCCCTCTTTATAAAGTGATATTCAGATACATTGTAACAGAAAACTGTGTGGCCTGGCCCAGGAACCTATCAACTCTAATACTATACTCATGAAAAATGCATTCTGAGTAACAAACAACTAACAAATCAACTCCTGCAATAGAATTACTTCCTGATTTGGTGCCTGCCTAGTGATCTTAGTCCTCAAGGACTTGTCTTCCATTCAAGATGCAATTTAAAGTATAAAACAACCCTTTTGTTACTTTTATGGGAAGAATATTAAGCAACAACTATGCTTACTCAACAAAAGGTAACAATTGTATTGTTAACATAATGTGGGCAAAAGATAAAGTAAAATTGAATGAAAACTGGGACATTTCACTTTTTTCTCTTTCTTTGGAGATATATATATATATATATATATATATATATACCTCCCACCCATCACCATTTTATTATAAAAAAATTTAAATGTACAGAAGTTGAAAGAATAAAAAAGGAAAATGCAGAAACAGCAGAGCTCCCTAAGGTTTCACGTGTTACTTTGTTGGACATTCGTGGGATGCTGCGCGTTAGACTCCTGGTCCAGCTGGGAGCGCACAGACATCCTGGGAATAAGAAGGCCTACTTTGATTCTTACAGATGGGACCAATGCCATGTTCCTAAAAAGTCTTAGGCCACAGAAATAACAACCAAAGAAGAGTTGCTGTTTAAAAAGACAATAGGTATCTGGCTGTAATATGAATTAAACAATACAAAAGGCAGTAGTGCACAGCCCTTCAAGATTTCTCTCTTTTTGTTTCATTGAGGTATAACTGACATGTGTTACTTGTGGGTGTGCAACATAATGATTCGATATTTGTATACACTGTGAGATGATTTCTCTTTTCATAGGAAAACAGCTATATTTTTAAAAGCTATGTGTGCTATTTTACTAAATAGAACGACTAAAATAAAATAAGAACACAAAATTTAAAAATTAATAGATTAGAGATATTTGAATGTACCTGGACCATGGCTATTTCGTTAGTGACGAGACCATAACGAATAACAATATTGCATTCTTCAATATCCAGACCTTCTTCTGCCACTGTGGTAGCGATAAGTAGATTTATTTTTCCTGTGCGAAATTTACTAATGACTTCTTTTTGTTCATTCTGTAGAGACATTTTAATAAATTAAATTTTGTGATGCTAGCCACATTAAAATCATCTAATTAGGAGAAGAAATAATAAATTGCAAATGGTCAGTGTAAATCAAAGGATTAGATCAGACACGATTTGATGCCATCTGTTTTTGTCATTGAACAAAGACATGATGGTGAGACAACATTTGATTTCCAATCTGGGATTATCACACAATAACAAAAATATTTCCATCTTCCAGTCTGGAGGTGGGGAGATCATTTATGCCAAGGAAATCAACTGATGGGCAACTTGGGAGGAAGAAAGGAAGAGATGAGGAACTTAAATGGGCTTTGCTTTTCACTACATTAACTTCAGAATCTTTAATATTCAAAGCATAGCATGCAGTGACACTTCTAAAAATGGTTGGGTCTTGAGTCATCAAGAAATACACACTATGCACATTTGGTCACACTAAGAGGCATTCAAGCCAGAAACGTGTGGAATATTCCTGGAAGTACAGGTGAGGAACTGAAAACACTGGGTGCCTGCCAAGGAGGGAGCTGGAAAACTGGAGGGCAGTGATGGGCCCTGTGCCATATTAGTTTTCAAAGAAGTAAATCTATTCTCTGTTCAAATGGATGGCACAAATAAACATGAAAAAATACGTTATCCAAACACAATTAAAACAATTATATTTAAGTTCAAAAACCTGAATTCTGAAAGTTAACATAAATACAGAAATTAATTATGCTTTCTGGCCCTTGCATCAGAGGAATGGGGAGCATAAACCTAGCCCCATATGGCTAGCATAGTTTTATTTTCATAATCACTCCCATCAAAGCTGTTGGTCCAGTTTGCCTATGGTGCACATTCACACTATCTCTTGCCCCCATACTTTAAGCAAAAATAAACATGTCAGACTGACAGTGTTCTCCCATCCCTTCCTTTCTTCTGAGAGGCAGCATGTGCCTTGATCTGACTCTTAGCTGCTGCAGAATCCTGCAGAGAGCTCCCTACCCAGTCTTTGATAATTTCTCCCTCTTGCTCATATGTCTACTGATAAAAACTTCAATGTCCTTGGATTTTAACAGAAGATGTAACTTTAATAAAAAGAATTTCTGACACAGTGTTAGACAACCCTCCCCCACCAAAAAAAAAAACAAAAACAAAAAACAACCATCAAGAGTTAGGCAACTCCTCTCCCAGGAAGTTCAGCTCAGTTTACAAGGTGAGGCTGTGGGGAGG